ATGACATACACCACAGAGTCTGATGGCATACACCACAGAGTCTGATGACATACACCAGAGTCTGATGGCATACACCACAGAGTCTGATGACATACACCACAGAGTCTGATGACACACACCACCGAGTCTGATGACATACACCACAGAGTCTGATGACATACACCTCAGAGTCTGATGATAGACACCACAGAATCTGATGAAATACACCAGAGTCTGATGACATACACCACAGAGTCTGATGGCATACACCACAGAGTCTGATGGCATACACCACAGAGTCTGATGACATACACCACAGAGTCTGATGATAGACACCACAGAATCTGATGAAATACACCACAGAGTCTGATGACATACACCACAGAGTCTGATGACATACACCACAGAGTCTGATGACATACACCACAGAGTCTGATGATAGACACCACAGAATCTGATGAAATACACCACAGAGTCTGATGACACACACCACCGAGTCTGATGACATACACCACGGAGTCTGATGACATACACCAGTCTGATGACATACACCAGAGTCTGATGACATACACCACCGAGTCTGATGATAGACACCACAGAATCTGATGAAATACACCACAGAGTCTGATGACATACACCACAGAGTCTGATGGCATACACCACAGAGTCTGATGATAGACACCACAGAATCTGATGAAATACACCACGGAGTCTGATGACATACACCACAGAGTCTGATGACATACACCACAGAGTCTGATAATAGACACCACAGAATCTGATGAAATACACCACAGAGTCTGATGACACACACCACCGAGTCTGATGACATACACCAGAGTCTGATGACATACACCAGAGTCTAATGAAATACACCACAGAGTCTGATGACATACACCACAGAGTCTGATGACATACACCACAGAGTCTGATGACATACACCACAGAGTTTGATGACATACACCACAGAGTCTGATGACATACACCAGAGTCTGATGAAATACACCACAGAGTCTGATGATAGACACCACAGAATCTGATGAAATACACCACAGAGTCTGATGACACACACCACCGAGTCTGATGACATACACCACGGAGTCTGATGACATACACCAGTCTGATGACATACACCAGAGTCATGATGACATACACCA